CAGGGTCCAGTCTCTACACCCTCACCACTGCGTCACGCTCCACCCCTTTGTCTCCCCAGTTGCACGCGTCTGCTCAGGTAGCTACACAGTGTGAGTGTCGCCGGCTGTCGCACGACACTCTCCTGTGGCACCACCGCCTTGGTCACCCCTCCCTGCCTCGCCTACGCAGCATGCACTCCCGCTTCCTGGTTTCTGGTCTTCCCAGGTCTCTGCCTCCCCTCCCTCCCTCGCCTGCACCGCCCTGCATTCCCTGCGTCGAGGGGCGGCAGCGCGCCGCTCCTCACTCCTCCTCGTTCCCTCCCACAGAGGCTCCACTGCAGACTCTCCACCTGGACGTGTGGGGCCCAGCCCGCGTCCGTGGACAGGGCCACGAGCGGTACTTCCTGCTGGTTGTCGACGACTACACGCGCTACACCACGGTCTTCCCCTTGCAGCGCAAGGCGGATGTCCCTGATGTTTTGATCCCCTGGATCCGCGCTACTCGTCTCCAGCTCCGCGAGCGGTTCCAGTCGGACTTTCCTGTCCTGCGTCTGCACTCTGACAGAGGTGGTGAGTTCTCCTCAGACCTCTTGGCAGCCTTCTGTGCGGAGCACGGCATCCGCCAGACTTTCACGCTTCCGGCCTCTCCGCAGCAGAATGGGGTTGCTGAGCGCCGCATTGGCTTAGTCATGGAGGTCGCTCGTACCTCCATGATCCATGCGGCTGCCCCCCATTTTCTGTGGCCGTTTGCGGTCCGGTACGCCGCGCATCAGCTCAACCTTTGGCCCCGTGTCTCCTTGCTGGAGACCTCGCCCACACTGCTGTGGACGGGGAAGGTTGGCGACGCGTCGCGTTTCCGGGTCTGGGGTGCTCGTGCCTTTGTCCGCGATACCACCGCGGACAAGCTCTCCCCTCGCGCCATTCCTTGCGTCTTCCTTGGCTTTGTCCCTGACGCGCCTGGCTGGCAGTTTTACGACCCCGCCTCGCGCCGTGTCTTTGCGTCTCAGGACGTCACCTTTGACGAGTCCGTCCCCTTTTACCGCCTCTTCCTCTACCGCACTGCTCCTCGCCCCCCCCCGCCGCTCTTTCTCGCCCCAGGTCCTCCCCAGGTAGACCCCCTCCCCGCGCCAGGTCCTGCTCCTTCAGGTGTCTCTCAGGTAGACCCCCCTGCGCCTGCGCCTGTTGAGGTCACTGGTGACTCCGGTCCTGCTGCGAGTGGTGCTGTCCCTGGGGGTGCGGAGCTTGGGGGTGCTGAGTATGGGGACGCTGAGCGTGTGGAGCCTGGAGGTGCTGAGCCTGCGCGTGAGGAGCCTGGAGGTGCTGCGTCTCGTGGTACTGCGTCTGGAGGTGCTGCGTCTGGGGGTGCTGAGCCTATGTGTGCGGAGCCTGGGGGTGCTGAGTCTGGGGGTGAGTCGCCCGAGAGTTCTGAGACTGCTGTTACGCGGTCTCCCTGGAGTAGCCGTCTTCGTCTGCGTGTGCCCCTCACCTCCCAGCAGCTGCACGACTGGTACGGTCGCCGTCAGCGTTCCACTTCTGCACCTCAGGGCTCTTCTGCTGCAGGTTCTTCTTCTGGTGTCGCTGGTCCCGGAGGTGCTCGTACTGGGAGTACTGGAGCTGCTGGGGCTGGTGGTGGAGCTGCTGGAGGTGCTAGAGGTGCTGGAGCTGCTCGGGGTACTGGAGCTGCTGGAGGTGCTAGTGCTACTGGAGGTGCTGGAGCTGCTGGGGGTGCTGGAGCTGCTGGAGGTACTAGAGCTGCTGGAGGTGCTGGAGCCACTGGGGGTGCTGGAGCTGCTGGAGGTGCTGGAGCTGCTGGAGCTGCTGGTGGCACTACTCAGCTACGCCTGTTCTTTGCTCCGCCGTCTCCGTCGTCTCAGCCACCACCTGACTCTGCACTTCGCCAGGTTCTCGGTCTTCCCTCGTCTACTGGTCTTCCGTTACAGCCTGGCTCACCGCTGCCTGCTCCCTCTCCGTACACAGAGCAGCCTGGTGGCCTTGCAGAGCGTCGTGAGCCTGTGTCGCGTCCTGTCTCCCCTGTCAGTTCCGGTCGTCGTGTTCCTCGTCAGTGCCAGCCGGCTGTCTCCGGCCCTCCCCTTGTCGTTCGTCGTCCTTCCTCTCCTTCACCGCGTGTTCCTCTGCCGCCTCCCCCTGCGTCCTCTCTGCCTGTCGTTGCTGACCCTGCGTCTGACCGGTTTCGTGCTGAGCACTCTACTGTCACGCGTCTGCTTGCCACTGTTGTCACTGACCCTTCGTTTGAGTCTGCTGCTGCGTCTGCCTTAGTCACTGAGCTTGTTGCCTTTGCTGCTCACTGTCGTCTAGACTACGCCGCCGGTCTTGTTGCTGAGTCTGCGTCTGTCTGTCCTCCGTCCGTCGGGGGTGAGTGTGCTCTTGGCACGGACGTCCTTGAGGACAGGCAGGAGGACCTTGAGTGTCTTGCAGCCGCTGCGCCTCAGCTCGTATCCATGCTGCTTGCCCCTGAGGGAGATCCGGATGCACCAGACATCCCTACCCCACGCTCTTACGCTGAGGCGATCGCGGGTGAGTACTCCTCTCAGTGGCAGACAGCCATGGATGCAGAGATGGCATCCTGGAAGTCCACAGGCACCTACGTCGACGAGGTTCCCCCTCTTGGGGCGAACATCGTCAGTGGCATGTGGATTTTCAGGGTGAAGCGGCCGCCAGGTTCTCCGCCTGTCTTCAAGGCTCGTTACGTGGCTCGAGGCTTCAGTCAGCGAGAGGAAGTTGACTTCTTCCAGACCTTCTCCCCCACCCCGAAGATGACCACTCTTCGGGTGCTGCTGCACGTTGCCGCTCAGCGTGACTACGAGCTTCACTCTCTTGACTTCAGCACAGCCTTCTTACAGGGCAGCCTGCACGAGGAGATTTGGCTGCGCCGCCCTCCTGGCTTCACTGGGTCGTTCCCTCCTGGTACCCAGTGGAGCCTCCGGCGGCCGGTCTACGGTCTCCGCCAGGCTCCACGTGAGTGGCACGACACACTGAGGACGACACTTGCGGCTCTTGGGTTTGCTCCGTCGACTGCTGACCCGTCGCTGTTTTTGCGCACCGACACTTCGCTGCCGCCGTTCTACGTTCTCGTGTACGTCGACGACTTGGTCTTTGCCACTGCTGACACTGAGGCTCTCGCCCTGGTGAAGTCGGAGCTGCAGAAGAGACACACGTGCACAGACCTGGGTGAACTGCGCAGCTACCTTGGCTTGCAGATCACCCGGGACAGAGCACGCCGCACCATCACACTGACTCAGTCACACATGGTGCAGCAGGTCCTTCAGCGCTTTGGTTTCACCTGGTCCTCAGCACAGGCCACTCCTCTGGCTACAGGTCACTCGCTCTCAGCTCCACCTTCGGACGAGTCCGTAGAGCCGAGTGGTCCTTACCCAGAGTTAGTGGGCTGCCTCATGTACCTAATGACTTGCACTCGTCCTGACCTTGCGTACCCTCTTGGCCTTCTGGCTCGCTACGTGGCTCCTGGTCGGCACCGAAAGGTGCACATGGATGCTGCCAAGAGGGTACTACGCTACTTGTGCAGTACATCGGGCATGGGGCTCGTGCTTGGAGGACGGGGTGACGTTGTCCTCACTGGTCATTCGGACGCCTCTTGGGTTGACGACCAGGCTACGCAGCGGTCGTCACAGGGTTACACCTTCAGCCTTGGCTCTGGTTCAGTTTCTTGGCGTTCTACACGCTCGTCTTCAGTTCTCGGCTCCAGTTGTGAGGCCGAGATCTACGCCACAGCCATGGCTGCACAGGAGCTTCGCTAGCTCACCTACCTGCTGACTGACTTGGGAGAGCGGCCTCGTTCTCCTCCAGTGCTGTACGTCGACAACAAGGCCGCCATTGCCGTGTGTCAGGAGCACAGACTGGAGCACAGAATGAAGCACATCGCTCTCCGTTACTTTCTTGCTCGAGAGCTGCAGCAGCGTGGCCAGCTTCGTCTTACCTACGTGGCCACTCGGGCCAACACTGCTGATATATTCACCAAGGCACTTCTGCCTGGTGATCATCAGCGTTTCTGCACTTTGTTAGGCCTTGTGCCCACTCTTCCTCACTTGCTGTAGGCTTTGTTTGTACCATGATTTGTATGTATTCCTGCATGCTTGTTCTTGTAGGTAGATTTCACTGTACTGTTGTTGTTACATATATATCTCTTCATGTGGACTGGCCTTGTGGCCTTTCTTGCTTGTGCTCAGACTGCGTGATCCACCCTGAGCTTGCTTTGCACTTCCTGACTGGTCTTGTGACCCTCTGTTCTCCCCCACTCTGCCTATGGGGGTGTGTCAAACATATGTATAGCTATGTTATATTTTGGGTAGGCTTAGTGGGGTACACATTGTAGGGTACAACCCCTTAGGTCAATTTTCCTTTGTACCACCATCTCGATAGTCGACACTCAACCATGCCTAACTTCTAAGAACTTTTGCCTACGATTCTAACAATTCTGTCAGTTTGAGTTGGGAGGGAATCACTCCCTGCCAAGCTGCGCGAGAATCAGATTCGCGACCCTATATGTTTTCGACTCGATTACAATCGGCAGAACGAGATCTACAGTTTGGTGTAAAACAGATAGAAATTCTTTTTGCCATTTTATAAATGCCAGCGCTTATAAAATTCCTCGATTATAAGCGCACCCCCTAAAAAACAGTGTTTTTATATACCCCCAGGGGTGTTTCTATCTGGGGCTGACGGTATCTTTGAAATCCATTCGGCAAACCGTGTTCACACGTTGGTGGCGAGCGGCTCTGTATCGGATCTAGAGAAGGCGGTTTGGTCATTGGCATTGGTCACCTTGGACTTGTCATCTCTGCTTTGAGGCTTCCGAATGGGTCAGTCCGCCAAAACACGCCACAGCAGCTGAGTTATGGGCCTCGAGTTTATGTTGAATCAAGAGCCTCGGAGCCTCGAAGTTATCGAATGCCGTGGCTGTTGGCGCGTCATTCGAACACCGAACCGCCTGAGGGCCTCGGAAATGTCGTAGCCATTAGCGTTCAGAATGGAGGTTCGATAACTCAGAGTTTTCTTGAGGTTGTGATTGCCGGTGTTGGCGTGTCGTTTTCCTGAGCAGCCACCTGCTTGAGGGCCTCGGGAATGTCGTAGCGAATGGCGTTGAACGGAATGCTCATGTCGTCGCTGTAGATCCGATGAGCGCGCTCCAGCGAATCCTGGACCGGCAAATTCGGTGGAAGAGAGGAGAGGAAATGGGATTGGTGGAGAAGGTAATGATTTAGTTGGAGAGATGCGGAAGCAAGCATCTTAGTTAGTAACAACGAGTAGTAGTCTAACGCTTACCAGCACTTACCACTGACCTTATCGAGGCATATGGCGACACTGAGCACTCACCTTATCGTACAATTAGGAAGCGAGGAAGCGTTAATCATTGCACAGCAAGGCAGCTTTGACCGTAGTACTCACCTTATCGAGCCATACGACTACGCTGAGCACTCACCTGCGCACTCACAAGTGCGTGGAACGTTGGTCCGCACCTGTGAGTTGGAGGGACTTGCCCTTCTGGACAATCCCAAGGCTCACCTTACAGCGGAAGGCGGTACTGAGCACTCACCTTATCGAATGGGAATGGCAGCATTTAGCACTCACCTTATCGTACAACTGTGCCGAACGCTGGTCCGCGCCTGTGAGCTGGAGGGACTTGCCCTTCTGGAATATCCCGAGATCTGACGTGTTGAGCTGACGCATCACTGCTGCCACGTCAGCGGACATGTTCTCGAAGCGACCCACAAAGTCGTAATGCACGCGATCCAGCGCACAGAGGTCGATCTGCGGGGAGGAGGGAGAGAGGAACGAGCAGAGATAACAGATACAAGCAGGAAAAGAGAGGGAAAAAATATCAGGGATTGAGAGGGAATGAAGCGAGTTGTAGTGCACTCGATCCAAAGCACAGTGGTCAGTCCGCGGGTATGAGGGAGAGAGGAACGAGCAGACAAAAGCCCGTTCAGAAAGCTGCCCACCCAGTCTACGTGCGTATGTGCTCCAAAGCATAGAGGTTGATCTGAACAGAATGCGAGATTAGGGATTGCCTTGGTAGTGCGATTCAGTGGGACGGGTTGGATGGCTCAAGAGACATGGAAGAGATGTTTCATGCATTGATCGCAAGCACTCGCCATGCATCACCAAAGTCACAGCCACCCGCGAGCCTCACCTGCTTGTCGATGTGATTCTCGATCTTATCAGCATCCCCTTTAAGAGCCTCCTCCACAAGAACCAGAAACTCCGCAAACGAAAAGTCACCCTTGGGATGCGATTTTAGCATCTTCTTGAGCTGCTTGCTCTTCCCAAACATGGCGTCCGCCCAATACAGCCGTGCATCGCCCTCGTTTGTGAAGTTCCGCGCGAGCACAAACTTGTCAAGAAACGCTGATGTGGCGCGCGTGAGAGGGTTGCGCACGAACGTGAATCGGAACACGTCTCGCCGCGTAATGAACCGAATGGCTGCCTCCTCGTGCAAATCTGGTAGTTCCGTGAGTCCGTTCAGCCCACGCAGGTGAATCATCTTAAAATCCTCGGTCGTGATGTTCAACCCTGCTGGCTCTGACGCTGCTGCTGCTGCTGCTGGTGCTGCTGCTGTCCCTTCTGCTGCTGCTGTTCCCCCAATCCCAGCATCTGCTGCGGCCGTCCCATTCGCGGAACCTGCTTGGTTGTCAGAGCTGGTCTTATTAAAGGAGTGGAACTCGGAGTAGTTTCCACGAAGCTTCATGAGGCGGAACCAGAGCTTCCAGCTCGTGTTGCCAACCTTGGGCAGCGCGCAGTACAGGGCTTTAAGGGACTCTGGAGGGGCGGGACGAGAGGAGGGAGCGCGAAGGCAAGATATGATATGAGGGCCTTTTCCATGATGCTTCCAGCTCGTGTTGCCCACCTTGGGCAGCGCGCAGTACAGGGCTTTAAGGGACTCTGGGAAGGAGGGGGGAGGGGAGGAGGGGAATGGGGGGGAGGAGGGGGCAGGGGAGGAGGGGAATGGGGGGAGGGAGGGGGAGGGAGAGGGGAAGGCGGAGGGGGAGGACAGGAGGGTCTGATTCATGCCTCGTGTTGCCCACCTTGGGCAGAGCGCGGTTGAGGGCCTTGAGGGACTCTGAGGGGGAGAGGGAAGAGGGGGGAGGGAGAGGGGGAGTTGGACAGGAAGAGGAGGGTCTGATTCATGACTCATGAAACAGTGTGCTTGCATCAGAACACACTGTTTGGAAGTGATGGGGGGGAGTAGATGGCATTGGAGGGTAGTCCTTGAGGCACTCTGGGAAAGAGGGAGAGTGGGGGGAAAGGAAGGGGGGGGAGGCAGACAGGAAGAGGAGGGTGTCATTCATGACTCGAGTCTCGACTGCTTGCATCAGAGCACACTGTTTGGAAGTGATGGGGGTGAGTAGATGGCATTGGAGGGTAGTCCAGACTCCAGGGAATGGAGGGAACATTTCAGACTCACTCCCATCCCATCCACTCACCACCCACTCACCATCCACTCCCCATCCATGCACCATCCACACCATCTACGATCATGTGTTGGGCGAATTTATTCTCCAGCAGCGGTTTGGGGCACGCAGCAGCACACAGCGCCTGCTCTGCACCACTCTGTTTGGGATTGTCGGGTTGATCCGTGATCATGTGTGTAACGAATCAGAGCGCCTACTCTCAAGCACCCCTACACACACACTTCCCTTACTCCTCACTCCCCATCCACTCCCCATCCACTCCCCATCCACTCCCCATCCACTCACCATCCACAATCATGTGTTGGGCGAACTTATTCTCCAAGAGCGGTTTGGGGCACGCTGCAGCACACAGCGCCGGCTGCACCACTCTGAACGCCCCCTGCAGCCCTCGGGATTGTCGCGTTGACCCGCGCGCCACAACGAAGGAGAAGGAAGGTGACTTGTGCGTGAAGATGAGTGAAGGGGCGTCTGCGAGCAGAAAGAGCTCTGCTAGCTGGATGGGGTTAGAGGGGGGCCGGGAGGGATTGCCAGCCTTTGAGGTTGGGCGACTTTTAAGAGTGAAGATGAGTGAAGGGGCGTCTGCAAGCAGGAAGAGCTCTGCTAGCTGGATGGGGAAGGTGGCGGGAAGGGGGAAAGGAAGGGGAGGGGAGGACAAGCTTGAGTGTCCCTGCCAGCCCTTGGGATTGTGTTGACCCACGTGCCACAGCGAATGAGAAGGCGTGCGACTTGTGAGTGAAGATGAGAAAAGGGACGTCGGCGAACAGGAAGAGCTCTGACAACTGGGAGGGGTTAGAGGGGGGAAAGGGGCAAGAAAGGGGAGGGGAGGGAGAGGTTGAGTGCCCCTGACAAACCTTGGGATTGCGGTGTTGGGCTCAAGCCACAGCAAAGGAGAAGCAGACGGAGACGGAAGGAGGAGGAGATGAGCGGGCGGGCAGGGGAGGGGAGGTAGCGGCTGGTAGAGAGAGAGAGAGAGAGAAGTGAAGAGGCAGGCGCTTACCAGTCGTTGGTAGCAAGCTGTGGCAATGTCCGCACTCCCTCCTTCCCCGCTATGTTCCACCCACCATGCAGCAGCGTGGGGCGCGGTTAGGGTGGAATGGAGGAAGGGCCTTACCAGTCGTTGGTAGCAAGCTGTGGCAATGTCCGCACTCCCTCCTTCCCCGCTATGTTCCACCCACCATGCAGCAGCGTGGGGCGCGGTTAGGGTGGAATGGAGGAAGGGCCTTACCAGTCGTTGGTAGCAAGCTGTGGCAATGTCCGCACTCCCTCCTTCCCCACAGTGCTCTGCCCGCCACTCAGCAGCGTGGGGCAGCAGGGGGGCGCGGTTGGGGTGGAAGGCGGAGGCGACCGAGCGGGCGGGCAGGGGAGGGGAGGCGGCGGCAAGAGTGAAGTCGAGAGAGGGGTGGCGGAGGAAGAGGGAGGTGAGATAGCGAATGAGGCACGTGGGGAGGAGCTTGGCGTTGGGGCATGATGCGGCAGCAGCGGCAGCTCCTGATTGTTTGGGGTCCTGGGGGCGGGCAGGGGAGGGGAGGGCAGGGGAGGGGAGGGCAGGGCAGGGGAGGCGGCAGCGAGAGTGAAGTCGAGAGAAGGGTGGAGGAGGAAGAGGGAGGTGAGATTGCGGATGAGGCACGTGGGGAGGAGCTTGGTGTTGGGGCATGATGCAGCAGCAGCAGTGGCTCCTGAGGTCTTGGGGTCCTGATGGGGGGCACAGGGCAAGGGGGGGTAATGGGGACAAATGGAAGGGGAGAAGAGAGGGAAAAAAATCGAGAGAGTGGTGAGGTTGCGGGCAGGCGAGAGTGAAGTCGAGGGCGGGGTGGCGGAGGAAGAGGGAGGTGAGGTTGCGGATGAGGCACGTGGGGAGGAGCTTGGCGTTGGGGCACGGGGGGGCGGAGGTGACTTCAGAGTGCGTGGGGTCCTGAGTGGGGGGATGTGGGAAGGAAGGGAAGGGGAGAACAGACAAGGGCGCTAAGAAAGAGGGTGGACGAGTAGAAAAGAGAGCGGTGAGACTGCGTGCTGACAAGAGTGAAATCGAGGGAGAGGTGAAGGCGGAAGAGGGCTGTGAGGTGGCAGATGAGGCACGTTGGTGGGTGCCCACTCGCCGTGTGTGATGAGGCACGTTGGGGGGTGCCCACTCGCCGTGTGTGATGAGGCACGTTGGGGGGTGCCCACTCGCCCACTCGCCCACATCCTTCCCCCATCCACCATCCTTCCCCCATCCACCATCCTCCCCATCCACCATCCTCCCCATCCACCATCCTCCCCATCCACCATCCTCCCCATCCACCATCCTCCCCATCCACCATCCTCCCCATCCACCATCCTCACTGCAGCAGCAGCTGCGTATGCTTGTGCCATACCGTATGCTGCCACTCCACCACGAAGCACTTTCACTCCACTCACCTCCAGCAGCACTCCGGTTGTGCAGCAGTTATGCGCACGTGTGTGTGTGTGTGTGTGTGTGTGTGTGTGTGTGTGTGTGTGCGTGCGCGCACACACTATACCATGTGCCCCCAATCCCCCCACCACTCCACTCACCTCCAGTAGCACTCCCGTTGTGCCCCTCACTCGCCCCACATCCTCCCCATCCACCATCCCCTGCACTGCATCCCCCCTGCCATCTGCACCGATTGTATGTGCATTCGCCATACCAAAGACATCTCACTCCACTCACCTCCAGCAGCACGCCTGTTGTGCCCCGCACTCGCCCCACATCCTCCCCATCCACTATCGCCTGCACTGCTGCTGACGCCTGCAGCGACTGGTAGCACCTCATGGTCTCGTCATACAGCCGGCAGGGGCCGGTGGATGCCTGGAGGGATGGAGGAGCGAGAGAGAGAAAGAGGTAGATGCACAGAGGAATACAGGGAAGTGGGTAGACGGAAGGGGACACAGACCTACAGTAGGTATGAAACATACCTCTCAGGTACAACTCACCATGGCACGGGCGAGAGGGCGCGGGACATTGACCTCCATGGGAAGCAGCAGAGGGCTCCACTCCATGAGTCCTTGTGCTTCTGAGTCGACTCAAAAGCAATCATGAGTCTGCTACTCACCATGGCACGGGCGAGAGGGCGCGGGACATTGACCTCCATGAGCAGCATCAGAGGCAGCAGGACCCGAGTACGACTCGTGAGTCTGCAACCCTACTCACCACAGTACGAATCGTGCCTCTGCTACTCACCATGGCACGGGCGAGAGAGCGGGGGACATAGACCTCCATGGGCAGGATCAGAGGGCTCCATTCCTCCTCCTCCCTCTCCCCACACTTGCGCTTCACCTGCCAATAGCAACATGCCACGTCACCATGTTACACGCCAGTGCAAACAACACATGAATGCAGCCAGCACATCAACGCATGATGCTGCTACAGTGAAAAGAAACACAAACTATTCACAAATACACTCTGATGTCTAGCGGAGTTTGAGTTTCTTTTCAAACTCAAACATACACACTGATGAGTTGAAAGATGACTTGACTCTCTACCATGTGAAAAAAGGTTGGTTTCGAGACGTCTCAAAACCAACCTTCGCTCTCCATGCTCAAAACAACTCAAAAGCTCAAGCTCTTCATACATACGGAGTTATAAAACACGTCTCGATGCTTAAAGCAGCTCGGAGCTTACCGGTGCAATACCAAAGTCGTCCGTCCTATCTGCCTGCTGCACCTGCAATCTTTTCCTCCCTGCCACCACCACCACCGCCACCACCCCTGCAGGCAGTGACGAGCGGATCGCCACCCCTTTGGGCCGCAGCAGCAGCGCTGAGAAGGGCACTGGCAGAGGGGTTTCCATCTCCTTCCCTGCACTGCTGGTGGCAGTCTGAGGGGTGGCGGAGGGGGTTGTGTGTGGGCGCAGATGCCACAGCACCCCCACGGTGATGTTGTGCAGGGTGGATAGCGCACTGGCCTGGCACAGCCGCTGCAAAGCCAAGGGAAGCACAGACGTCTGATGATAGGGGGTTGGGTTGGGGGGTCAGGAAGGCGGAAATGGGGGTTTGGGCAGACGCAGGTGCCACAACACAGCACCCCCACGGTGATGTTGTGCAGGGTGGATAGGGCACTGGCCTGGCATAGTCGATGCAGGGCTAGAGGGAGCACGGACGTCTGTTGGAGGAGGCACGGGCGTTGGGGGGAGGAAAGAGGGGGGAGAGAGAGGAGGGGTGTTGTGCAGGGTGGATAGAGCACTCGCCTGGCACAGCCTCTGCAGCGCTAAGGGTAGCACGGACGTCTGTTGGAGGAGGGGGAGGGGAGGGAGAGAGAGGAGGGATGTTGTGCAGGGTGGATAGGGCCCTCGCCTGGCACAGCCGCTGCAGAAGCAATGGTAGCATGGACGCCTGTGAAGGAATAGGGGAGAGATGGAAGAGGGATGCTGTGGAGGGTGGATAGAGCACTCGCCTGGCACAGCCGCTGCAGGGCTAAGGGCAGCATGGACATCTGAAGGGCAGGGGGTTGGGGTGAGAGAACGGGGCCGTGGGGGTAGGGGGTAGGGGGGCAGCACACACACACACACACACACACACACACACACACACACACACACACACACACACACACACACACACACCCGCTTTTCACTTGCGCACACGCACCCACACATGCATGTTTGATCAATGCGCACCTTGATATGAACGATGGCCTGCACACCATCCCAGCTTGCCTCCTCTTCTGCCGAGGCCACTTCGGCTGTGCCTGCAGCACTTGCTGCTGCTGCTTCTCCTCCTGTTGTTGTTTCTCCCGCTGTTGCTGTTTCTCCTCCTCCCGCTGTTTCTCCTCCTCCTCCTGCTGTTTCTCCTCCTGCTGCTGCTTCTCCTCCTGCTGCTGCTTCTTCCCCTGTCGATGCTTCTCCTCCTGCTGCTTCTTCTCCCCCTGTCGATGCGTCTCCTCCTGCTGCTGCTTCTCCTCCTGCTGCTGCTTCTCCCCCTGTTGCTGCTTCTCCTCCTGCTGCTGCTTCTCCCCCTGTCGATGCTTCTCCTCCTGCTGCTTCTTCTCCCCCTGTCGATGCGTTTCCTCCTGCTGCTGCTTCTCCTCCTGCTGCTGCTTCTCCCCCTGTCGATGCTTCTCCTCCTGCTGCTGCTTCTCCCCCTGTAGATGCTTCTCCTCCTGCTGCTGCTTCTCCCCCTGTCGATGCTTCTCCTCCTGCTGCTGCTTCTCCTCCTGCTGCTGCTTCTCCGCCTGCTGCTGCTTCTCCTCCTGCTGCTACAGCCACAATGCCACTGGGGGGCGCTGCAGCCAGCTGGAGCGGTCGTGGGGACACAGCCTGCGCCATGAGCACGGCTACAACCGGATCCTCTGAGGGATGCTGACTCCCACCATTACTCCCTGTATTGCCTCTGCCATTGTCACTCTCGGGGCTCGTGCTAGCGCCGCTGCTACCGCTCCCAATACCGCCGCTGCTACCCCCGCTGCCACCGTCGCTGCTGCTGCTACTGCTGATGCTTGAGTTACCATCGCTTCTGCTGCTTGAAACACCGCCTTCCGTGGCGTTGCTGCTACCCAAACTGCTACTAACGGGACCTGCCTCTGCGCCCGCGACGCCTTTTCCCAACGCGCCGAATTGCCTCGATCCTAATAATAACGGGCCTCGGGAAAGGTCCTGTGGGAGAAAAGCAGTATGCGCGGTATTACCGGAATTAAGTGTGTTACCGACAGGCGGTTGAGAATTCATGGTGGTAAGAGTGGCTTCTTGGTGGAGCGGGGGGGGAAGGGAGAGCACGAGCGCTAAGCTGACAGCCGACATGAGTACGCTGACGCACGTCAGCAGCAGCACGATCGAATGGCTGTGTACCAGCGACGCCACGGACGGCGCCGACGACGCTGCAGAACCCGCGCCGCCACCGCTGGCGGCGGCGGAATATGCGGCGGAGGAGGCGCCGCCACCGCCGAACAAGGGCGGTGAGGCGGATGAGGCGAGCTTCTCTTTGCAGGACGAAATAGAGCCTATTAAACCGTCGAAAAAGGCGTGAAAGTGAGGTTCCACTGTCTGCCAGTGCGGAACTTGCAGTTGACTAAAAAGGCGTGGAGCTTGCACAAATTGCATTGCCGCCATGGCTCCAGATTGCGGCAGTGCCGCGACTTTGGCGGGCCGCGCTGGCTTTATCGAATCTAACACGCAATCGAGACTATCCGTTGATGAATCCTCCAATGACCCCCGATGGACCGTGCTGCTGCTACTACTGTCACCGGTAGCAGCGCCGCGATCGTCGGCGCCGTGTGTTGCGGCGTCATTCGCGCGGGGCTCATGGTTGCCCGAGGGAGCAATGCTTATGGCAGGATCATGACAGCACGGGCTTTTGCGATTCTGACAGCTCATTTTGCGGGTTTGACAACGCTCACCATCACCGTCGCCGCCGTGATCGCCGCCGCAAATCACGCGGCCTATGCCACATCTACTAGTTCAGATTCCGAGTAGCGTCTGTGTGTAGAAACCCGAGAGAATGCGCCCCGGCACGTGAACGTGGCGAAAACGGGCCAGATATGATAATTTCGCAGCAAGAGGGACTTGGAAGGAACACGTTATTCTTTCAACGTCCGTCAGAATTTATCAACTACGAGGTTTCCGTCGTTGTGTCAGAAAAGATGAGCTCCTACCTACTCTTCTGCTGCTGTTAGTAGTTATCCAATTCAGCGCTAAGAACTCCTAACCAGAGCAGGCTTTCGGGCTGCAGCTGCTGCGGTATGTCACCACTGCCGGACTCGTGTCACATCACATGCAAACTGTAAGATCGTGAATCATCTGAAGAAACAGCCAGCATCGTGTCTCGGTACAGTAAGGGCGGGTCAGCATGGTTTGAATGCGGTTTGAATTGTAAGCGGTGGTTTTTCCTTCACCAGTTTGAATTGAACCATGACTCACCGTTTCGAAGAACGTACGAAATCTGACCCGCGCTAATTTTCTGGTGACACGAAGTAGTTGTACGCAGATAGCTTTTGACCCTGCTGCGCCTCAATCACAGTGCACGCAGACACGACACACACGACGACACGAACCACCAGTTCGCACCGAGACAGCAGCCCCACCAGTTACCGCCTCCCCCCAATCCTAACAACCAGTACTGTACTGCCAGGTAGCATATACTGCGCACTACCTTAGTGTACTGACAAAGAAGCAGAAACGTTATCAAGTCCCATGTTCGTTACTTGTGGCATATTTTCCCAGCAAAAACTCCCCTGGGCCTCCTGCCCATCTCTGCCCCATCAACTGTACACTTCGCAAAGTTCATTTCACTCGCAACAATCTGAGGAAGCTTCTAACGGTGCAGACCGTGTTTGAGCGAACTACATTCTCAAGAAGATATTCTTTCCTGCCTGTTTTTGTGATTCATGGAGGCAGGCAGTCAGCAAAGTCAGCCGACGTAAATAGGTATTCGAGGCGTTTTTAGGTTTCCTAGGGTCCACTAGGCGGTCTACAGAGGCACATAGGCTTTAAAGGGTCCATCTCCACGCTCTGTTACGTTCGTGAGCACGATGCGGAAGAGTAGTACTAGTAAAGCTTGGAATCTCGCTCCGCAGGGAGGCTACCTAGCCATTCTCTCCGTGCTTCCGTGGTTGTACGTCGCTTTTGACTTCATTGGGAACTGCGGCCATGGCCCATCCACCGAGCAACAGGTCTGAAGTTCTCAATAGATTGTGAATCTGGACTGTCGAACCAATAGGTGTATTCGCAATGATGGTGCAAGGGTTTGATATGAGCATCACTAGCAGTGTTGCTTGCGAATATATATATATTTCCTACAACCGCCTTGTAAATTTCGGATACTTCAAAGCCGTTTTAACCTTCCACCCGCTTTCTCTCCCAGATGTACCTATCCCGCCTGCAGCCCATCATTCCCTTCCAACAAATCCTCGACAATGTCACATTCGATAAACGCGCGAGCCACTACGGCGCGTTCTACAGCCTGTATCTCGACCCCTTACGCCGACCGCAACTAACCCGTGGTGACGATCGGATCCCGGTCTGGGAAAACCGGGAGGTTAACTTGCTGACGGTCGGTCGCTCGTACGGCGACTCGCTGCAGCTGTGGAAGCGGGCATTCCCGAGGGGGTTGATCTACGGCATTGCGAATGAAACCACCTCCGCCAAGATGGTACGTCTGGTATGGCTTTGGAGACGACGCAATAGTCACCTGAGGCATTCCCAAGGGGGGTCGTTTACAGCATTGCGAATGAAACCACCTTCTCCAATAAGAGAGCGGGAGAGGGGTGAGGAGGTGAGGGAGTGCGGGTTGAAATGGGGGAGGTGAGGAGCGGGGGTAAGGGGGGAGGAGGGGAGGTAGGGAGGGGGGAAAGGGTGAAAAAGAGGGAGTGAAAGAGGGAGGTCATGCCAAGGAGGAAAGTTACTGGTATTGAATGCAGAAGAATCCGTGTCTACTTTGACTTCAGCAAGGAGAATTTGCTACCATTAAATGCTTTTTACTTTGAGAGCTTGGGTGCTACTATTTTCTTCAATGGTGAGAAATAGACTAAGATGCAGGTTAGGAGTGCTGGTGCTGGGTGGGCTGGTTCTGAATGTTAGGTAGATCAATTGTGTAATCGCAGTGCAGCACATTGTTTTTTTATGGCTCTGCTCTGTTCGTTTTGCAATAATTTGCTCCCTTTTCTCTTCCTGTCCTGAGTATTCTCGTTTCAAACCTTGGTTTCTCGGCCCCAGCACCAGGCAGAGGTGCAGGACCCGCGGGTGCGGCTGATAGTGGGCGACCAGGCGAATGGGGCTTTCTTGGAGAAAGCGGTTGCTCAGATAAGGAATGAGGTGAGGAGTGGTATAATGTGGCATGTTTCATGACAACGTGAAGTTTAGTTCTATTAATGTGTATTAGAAATCATGGACTGTTGGGGCATGTAACATTGCAACGAACAATTGCGGAACCGTCGGTTTCTGCGAAGTTATCCATATCTGCGAGCTCCGGGGATTGTTCTGTGGAACGTTGAAGCCAATAACAGATCTTCATTGGAATCTTGCGAAGCTTATGGCCGACAATCTTTCGACCGAAAGGGTTGTTCGTTTCAATGTTCCAGCCCGTGTGCTATGGTGTGCCATGCATGCTTAAGATTTTAAACACTTGTTTGAAAAGTCGTTTGTGCAATGCCATCTCTGCACGGCTGTATTGATGACGAACTGTTGTCCATGCTTTTTATTTGCGCAACGCCCCGCAATTTCTGATTGTACACATCCTCGTTATTGTGTTGTGATTCGTTTCAGGTGGGTCTGCTTGACTTCATAGTGGACGATGGTGGTCACACCATGGATCAGCAACAGACCTCCCTCAAACACCTCCTGCCTCTTGTCAAGGTACCTGTTGCTGCTGCCACTGCCTTTTAGCAAGTGGCTCGCATCAACAACCATGCTCGTTATAAGGTTTCAGACTCAAGTTTCTTGATCTACTCTCCTACACCTCAGTTTTTCTCTCCGTCCCTTCGTGCAATCCCCCTTTGTCCGTCTGTACCTTACTTTATCCTGCTTTCACTAATTGCTGCCTTCCTTTCCCCTTCGTTATCCTCTGGCTTTCTTTCTCTTTCTTTCTCACCCTTTCTCCTACTTTATTCCCCCTTTCCTTCTCCCCCCCTCCTCCTGTGTCCCATCCCTGATCCACCCGCCACCATCTTGCTGTTCCAGCCCGGTGGAACCTACTTTATTGAGAATGTGGGGACGTCTTATAAGGACGGCATTTCTGAAGCAGACACTACTATACACGTTATGCAGTCTCTCTTAGATGCGATGAACAAGGAGTTTTTTCGAGAAGCAGCCATATTTCAAGAGCATGGTGCATGGGAAGTTTTATGCAACCCCGGTGGAGAAATTGGTGGGCTCTGTGCACTGCATGAGGAACATGTGTGCACTTAGACGCAAGACTAGTCATTGGTATTAGTAACACCAACTAGAGTGTGCTTAGGGAGTGAGACCATTTTGCAATATGTGGTACATACGCTGGGCGGCACTTGCTTTTGCGTGGCAACCCGGGTTTTATCGAGGACAACCCTGACGGATATCCAATGGCACCCTTTTACAAGTGTTCCGGGTTAGAGGCCCTCGCTAAAATAGTCCCTTTTGCCGCTTGAGTAGAGTTTTCCGATATCGCCTAGGATTGGCCTCACCCCTATAGTCCCTTTTTTTACGGGAAAATTTGCAGCTTGACCGAATCATTGCACGAATCAGCTCCGCAGCCAATCAGAGGCTCCAGATCGAACCAGCCCAACATTCAGGGAAAACGATAAATAAGGCATAATCGATTCGATATTTAACTTTGGAATTGTAAGTAATTGTTTATCTTGTTCGTGATTACTTTTCAATCCTGTTGCGCGGTTTCCAGCGCGCTCGACGATGACATCTCATTTATCTCGCTTAGTGGGTACAATTGAAGTTTTTACCTTCTATTAGACCCCAAAACCCTAATTGATTTTGTTTTGTTTTGCCCGTTAATCATGCGGACATTGATCAGCGCGGGGAACCGTGCAACGAGAAGTTGAAGCAAGCGTGGTCCGAATCTACGTAAAAGACGAAATAAAAAACTAGTAGCAAACAAACCACTCTTCATGCAATTTTCTTGAACGGGACTAGAAGTATCGCGTTTTGCCCGGGGTTTGAAGGTTTTCGCACATTGTCCGCGCACGGCGTCTCATTCCGTCAGACTAAAAACGAGTATTCTGGTTCTGAATTTCACAAAACTTCCCCCAATCATGCACACACACGTGTATTCCCAAACCACAACCACCTTGAAATGCTCCTGTCATTTTCGATTCGAACCTCGTACACGTGGGAGTAATTGCCCTGGATTTGTTTGTGGCGCCTCCGCGTGGGTGCAACGTGGGACCATTTCCAACAGATTCAAGCGAGCCTCGTTGGTTGGTTTGGAAGCAGCAGCAGAGCAGAGCTGTTTTTGCCCGCGGTCATAGGTGTGTGCGTGTGTCATTCCTTCTGCCTGTGACGCCTCCGCGTGGGTGCGACATGGAACCATTCTCAACGGATTCAGACAGAGCGTCATTTTTAGTCCCGTGTGCGCAATAGGCGGGAATCCCACAGTGCGATACATTTACGATCGAGGTCGCAAACCCCAGCTGCAGTAGGCCGCGGTCGGGAGGATGGCGAAGGGTGTCGACTGGAAATCTGCTATCATGCCGCAAAGAGGCGTCCTGTTCGTTGTCTACCTCCTCCCGTGGGCGTATATCGCGTATAATCTTATCCAGAACTGCCGCGACACATCAGAGGTAGAGTTGTGATACACCAGTCGTACTGAATCCTTTATTAGTATCGTTCGTGAGCAGAGCTTCAATGCTGCGTCACTAACAGACTGCTAATAGTATTTTTGTGCAATCCGGCCTTACCAGCGCGGCGATAACTCAATGTACCTGAGGGTCTCTTTAGGTTCCTAAAAAACCCCATAAATCCTTTCGATGCGCCTCAAGAAAAGCGGCGTTAACTCTGATGTACCTTAGGATCTCTCAATGTCTCACTTTGTCGTAGCCAATCTATATGCTCCCGCTCATTTCTAGTAGCAGCATTACTGGCCTGCGTTCCAAGTGAATCGTTCCTCCTTCATCTGGTTCTTTCCACATAATTCTTTAATCATCGTTCTTTGTAATAACTCTTTATTCATGTTAAAAAAGCGTCTCCTTCCTCGTGATATTCACGCGGTTCCCTGGCAGGCCGGCTTCATCTCCTTCGAAGCGATCGTCAACCAAGGCACGTCCGATTTTGAGACGTCTTACAACCACCCTTCGTTCACGTGTCGTTTCCCTGGCAGGCCGGCTTCATCTCGTTCGAAGCGATCGTCAACCTTTTTGAGACGCCTCAAAATTCCTGTCTCCTTCCCCTTGATATTCACGCGTTTCCCTGGCAGGCCGGCTTCATCTCGTCAACCAACGTCCGATAAGCGCACGCATCACTACGGCGATTTGAGACGCCTCAAAATTCGTGTCTCCTTCCCCGTGATATTCACGCGTTTTTCTGGCAGGCCGGCTTCATCTCGTTCGAAGCAATCGTCAACCAAGGCACGTCCGATAAGCGCACGCATCACTACGGCGCATTCTACAGCCTCTATCTCGACCCGATGCGCCTGCCGCTGCAGCCCGAAACCCCTGCCGACTGCCAGCAGCCCCAAGCAGGCGAAGCGGACCGCTCTCAATACACACAGGACGCACAGAACTCGCAGCAGCAGCCGTGGGAGCCACGCGCGGTGAACATGCTGGAGATCGGGCTCAAATACGGCGACTCGCTCAAGCTCTGGAAGCGGGCGTTCCCAAGGGGCAGGATCTACGGGATTGACAACGAGATGATCTCCAAGGTAAGCCCGAGGGACCCAAGGTAGGTAAGCCCGAGAGACCTAAGGTAGGTAAGCCCGAGGGACCCAAGGTAGGTAAGCCCGAGGCGAGGGTCCTGAGTAGAAGTGGGAGATTCCCGAGGTGAACATGCTGGAGATCGGGCTCTCAAGTTCGGCGACTTGCTGAAGCTCTGGAAGAGGGCATTTCTGAGAGGCATTGACAACGAGATGATCTCCAAGGTAGGTCCGAGGGCCCCAGGGTAAGCTGCGCGTTGAGTTAGTATGAGTGAACTTGCAAGAATTCTTAAGGTAATCCGAGAGGCAGGATTTGTGGCATTGACAACGAGATGATCTCTAAGGTAAGCTGCGGCGGCAGAGCTGATTGGGGTTGTGAGCACAGATGATACCAGTAGGAATTACTCATTTCCTTTTCGGCTGCGCTCCTCAATGATTCAGATTTGTCCACATTGCTATGACGCATCCCTTCGCTTGTCCCGGTGTGAATCTTTTCATAAGACCTCATCTTGGGTTTTGTGAGCACAGATCTGACAAGTTTGCGCCTTTGCTGTCGTATGGATTGTTTAGTTAATTACATGACGTACTTCCGTATGTGTCATAGCTTCCGACCCCGCCTTTGAGTCGACTCAAAAGCAGACTTATCCGTATGTGTCATGGCTTCCTCCCCCCCACCTTCCCCACCCAACCCCACACTCCCCTCCCCTCTCCCCTCTCCCTCCCTCCGTATCGTAACGATCTCAATCCCCGCTCCTCTCCACTGCCCCTGTCTGTCTCATCCCCGCCCCCTCCTTCTTTCTTGCCTGTCCCACACCCAACCCCCGTCCTCCACGCCTCTCCTCTCCGCATAAGCACCAGGCGGAGGCGAGGGACCCTCGGGTGCGGCTGATGGCCTTTCTCCCCCTTCCTTTGCCCGGTCCCTGTTCTTGACTCACACATCCGCCTCCCCCCCCCTCATGATCTCATCTCTGCAGAAGAACCAGGCGAAGGCGAGGGACCCACGGGTGCAGCTGATGGTGTCTCTTCCCTGCCTCCTCGCCCTGTTCATCCCATGCCCATGCCCCATCCTCTTTGCCTCTCATGGCTGCAGAAGCACCAGGCAGAGGCGAGGGACCTGCGGGTGCGGCTGATGGTGGTCTCTTCCCCACCTCCTTCTTTGGCCCATCCGTGATTATTTCTTTCCCTCTCCTCCCTCTCATCCCCACAGAAGCACCAGGCAGAGGCGAGGGACCCGCGGGTGCGGCTGATGGTGGGCGACCAGGCGAATGGGACGTTCCTGGAGCAAGTGGTGGCTGAGATAAAGAGTGCGGTGAGGAGTGGTGGCCGAGATAAAGAGTGCGGTGAGGAGTGGTGGCTGAGATAAAGAGTGCGGTGAGGAGTGGTGGCTGAGATAAAGAGAGCGGTGAGGAGTGGTGGCCGAGATAAAGAGTGCGGTGAGGAGTGGTGGCTGAGATAAAGAGTGCGGTGAGGAGTGGTGGCTGAGATAAAGAGTGCGGTGAGGACGGGTGGCTGAGATAAAGCGCGCGGTGAGGAATGATGGTTGAGATAAAGAGAGCGGTTAACGTGGTGTGGTGTTGCATGATGAGGGATTTGAGGTCAAGCTGGAGATGGAATGGGATGGGATGGCATTGGAATGACATGGGATGGGATGAGATGGGATGGGATGGCAGTCGAATGACATGGGACTGAATGGCATGGCAATGGAATGACATGTGCTTAATTGATATTAATATGCATATGTTTGAATGGCAGTGGATATACTTGTGTTAAGATGAACATTTAATTTGAATATACTCTCCCGTTTACTCTTGTCCTCGTTACTGTGTTATAACTCGTTACAGGTGGGTCTGCTTGACTTCATAGTGGACGATGGTGGTCACACCATGGATCAGCAGCAGACATCCCTCAAACACCTCCTGCCGCTGGTCAAGGTACCTGCCATTGCCGGTCAAGGTACCTGCCATTGCCGGTCAAGGTACCTGCCATTGCCGGTCAAGGTACCTGCCATTGCCGGTCAAGGTACCTGCCATTGCCGCTCAAGGTACCTCCTGTTGCTAGTCAAGGTACCTCCTCTTGGTTACAACTGCATTCCGCTTCTGTTTCCCAGTATAATTGCCGGTCTTTGAATCTGCCACTGTAACTCTCCTTCCTTCTCCAAACTTCGCCTCCCTCTTGCTTCTCCATTCCTCTCTCTCTCTCCCTCCTGCCTCGCTTCCCCCTGCAATCCCATCTGATTCTCCTTCCTGTCTGTCCCTATTCTGCTGCACCAATTCAGCATGCCTTCTCTCAGCCCTCCCCTTTCTCCCTTCCTCCACCGTGCATTTGTCCTCCTCCATCCGTCTCCCCTCCCTTGCACTTCCCTCCCCATCTCGTTATCCTTTCGTGGTTGATTTCTAGCCTGGCTTGAAACAGTTCAAGAATTAAGATTTCCCTGTTTACTATTTCCCTCCTCGTGCCCTACCACATCCTCCCTCCCACTCCATTGTTTTTTCCCAGCCCGGCGGAATATATTTTATAGAGGATCTCGAGACGTCATACTACACCAAATGCCACATTACAGGGTGCTACGAAGGCGGCCCCCCTGGTCTCAACACCACAACAATACACGTTCTCAAGAAGCTTATGGACGTGGTAAACCGTGACTATATCGAGAAGCAGGCTTATATCAAGAGGGCCGCAAGTGAGGAATTTTACACGACTCCTGTGGAGGATTTGGTGGGCACTGTACACTGCATGAGGAACATTTGTGCACTTAGACGGAAATCTAGTCCTTGGTATTAACACGAGCAAGATATCCTAGTAGTGTGAGTTGACACTTTTACTTGGTTAGTTATCTGGATACGTATGTACCGTATCACCCTGGATAGAAGCGCAGGTGCGCTTATTGTTGGGCTGAGAAAAGCCCTTGGGAACTTTCAGGACAAAGATCGGGTGTTGACGTAGAGATGTAATAGCGGAAGCGTTTAATGAAGAATTACTTGAACCGCCTTGTACTGGTGTGTGAGAACAGGATAAGTTGATAATAGCAGAGAAGTACAAGGCTTTTATATGATTACAAAGGAATATGGAAAGTTCTATTTTAACTGTTTTTGCTGTTGCGGTTCGATACAGTGCCGACTCGGGTAACTGCTCTGTAACGAGTCAGTTATGTGTCCTTGCTGTCGCACTGTACGTTTCATCAGATCAAAGGTCGGAGACCTTTGACCTTCGCGCAACTTCCGACGGTTGCCTTGGTTGACTCGAGTGCTTCTTCGCTGTAGTCAGTTCCGTTTTGTGTCGAAGCTTCGATACGACAGAAGCGTTATAAGTCACTTGTTTCCAACACTCCCCTTCGCTTCTGGAGGATCGTTGCTGATGACGTGTCCTTGTCCAGTCAGCAGCATGCAGTACTCGAACTTCTGTTTTCCGAGTTTCTTGGTCAAGTGGTCAGCTGCCATCTCGGATGTGGGACAGTAGGATAGTTCGAGTCTTCCCTTTTCGATATCGTCTTTCACGAAGAAGTACTGAAGGGCGATGTGCTTCGTTCGATTCGCGAACCCGTTTTTGTTCGCTATGCGAATGGCCGATTGGTTGTCGCAGAAGAGAGAGAAATTGGGTAACTGGGCCAATTTTGCTTCCTCCAGTAGTTCGCAAAGATATAGCCCTTCCTTGGTTGCTGAGCAGAGTGCGATATATTATGCTTCTGCTGACAAGAGAGCAATTAGCTCTTGCTTGTTCGACTGCCATGAGATAGGCCCGATAGGTTCGAGTCTGTAGACGTAGCCGGTTCGAGACCGTTTGTTGTCTGAATCTCCAGCGTGATCGGCGGCGACGTAGCCGATTAGCTTAGGTGTTGCGGTGCTGGTTTTGTGGTAGGTGAGTCCGATCGCCGGAGTACTGACGAGGTAGTGAAGCGCTCGGTCGAGCATGTGATCTACTTCAGGCTTCTTGAGGTAGGTAGCGAGTTGGCTAGCTGAGTAGGACAGATCCGGTCGGCAGGTGACGGCTGCGAAGAGTAGGCAGCCTAGCTTCCTTTGGTAGTCACGGACGCCAGCAGGTTTGAGTAGGGCGGAGGCTTTCCGATTTCCGTCGGTGTAGCGGTATGGCGTGGAGATAGTGGTTGGAATGAGTCCGAAGCGTTTAGCGATAGTGTCCGTGTATTTTGCAGCGCTGAGGTAGATGGCATTGTCGCCGTCTTCGATGTTCAGTCCTAGGTACTATGTCACGGTGGTTGCGATGGTGAGAGTTAGATCTCCCTGCAGCTCCCCTTCAAACCACGTTGTTACCGCGTCGGTGGAGCCTATGTAGAGAAGATCATCGACGTAGACGATAAGTAGGATGCAGTCAGTGCCTTTCGCCAGTCGATACATTCCTTGGTCGTGTGGTAGCTGAAGAAAACCGATGCGAGTAAGGCGGGCGTGAAGATGCTGCTGCCACAGTCTCGGGGCTTGCTTAATCCCGTACAGTGACTTCTCCAGTTGACAGATTTGGTTGGGGCCTGCGTTGGACCCGTGCGGGAGTTCGACGAAAATCTCAGCGTCGACGGGGGCGTAGAGGAAGGCGTTGGCGACATCAATTTGTCGAAGCTTCTTCCGGTTCATGGCGGCGATTTCGAGGAGAATCCGCAGTGAGGTATGTCGGCTTACTGGGGCGAATGATTCCGTGAAGTCTCGCCCTTGTTCTTGGTCGAAGCCCCACACGACCCAGCGTGCTTTGAAATTGTCGATTGTTCCGTCAGCTTTTGTTTTTACGTGGAAAACCCATTTTACCGTGAGGACAATTTTGTTGCGTGCCACTCCGGTAGGCACGACTTTCCAGGTGTTGCGTTCCTGCAGCGCCTTCAGCTCTTTATCCATGGCTTCACACCATTTTTCCCTGTGTTCCCCCCCCAGAGCCTGCTGAATTGTCGCAGGCTCCTTAGGTGGTTCCGCTCCGTGGACGGCGGTGACAAGTCCCAGTATCTGCAGGCCACTTTGTGTGTAGCGGGGGAGATTTGTGTCCTCTGGATAAGCTGCTTCGTCTCCTGCTTCGGGGTCTGGTAAGAAGTTTGGTCCTATGCGTTCTGAGATGTTGGTGTTGGCCGGTTGAGGTGTAACGTAACCGGTGTCAACGAAGTCGAAATAAGTTTCGGCGTTGACGCTTTCGCGAGGATTTTCGTCATCCATCGGGATAGGCACGGGGCAGTATGGGAGTGGTCCTGCTTCTTCGGATGCGTTGTCCACGTTTTGCTCGTCCCAGTCAGCTTCGTCTGCTGCTGAAGCGAAGGCTCGGTTGCTACGGAAGCCGCCCGTGAGGTCTCGATTTGCTGCCAGGTTGTCCAGGTACGTTTGAAGTGTGAGTCGCTCGTAGAAGATGACATCACGTGCTGCCACTGTTTCCTTCGAGTGGACGTAAAAAAATATTCCATGCGTTGTAATGCTTTTTGATGCCCAGGTGTAGTCCCCACTGTGCGCGTTGAGAAAATCTTCCGGCTCTTGCAGTGTGTGGGCGATACTGTACCATGCACCCGAAGACTCGTAACATTTTTGTGTTGCCCAACTTTCTTGTCCACAGCAGGTGCGGTGATGCGTTGTTCGGAAGTGACGACGACAAAAGCAAGTTGTGCAGCATGACAGCGTGGTCCATCGCCTCAGGCCACTGGTGATTGGGCAGTCGCATGCCACGCAGCAATTTGCGCATGGTGTTCTAGAGAGTTCTGTTCATCCGTTCTGCCACGCCTTGCTGTTGATGGGCGTAGGGAAGTGAGATGAGTCGCTTGATGCCTCGTGTTGCGAGGTACTGCCTGAACCTCTGGGACTGATATTCCCCTCCTCCGTCAGACTGGAAGCTTTTCAGCTTTGCGCCCGATTCTCGTTCTGCCACAGGTAGCCAGGCGACGAAGGCTTCGAAGGCCATGTCGCGACTTGGAAGATTAAGGTGCCAGACGTAACGGGTGGCGGCGTCGATGAAAGTGATTACGTAATTATATGTGCCTTGTCCTTGTTCGCGAGTATACAGAATGTCGCTGTATACTTTCTCGAGTGGTGCATAATCTGGCAAGCTTGGATTGTGGTGAGAGGCGAACGGTTGATGTGGTAAGTCGGCTTCGGGACAGGTAATGCATGTTCCGCGGACTCATTGGAGTTCTCGGCCGTCGGGTAGAAGGAGTGAGTCCTTATCGAGCACTGCTGCCTTGATTGTGTTGTTTAACGTGGTGTTGCTTGGATGTCCTAGTCGTTCGTGCCACATGGACTCACTTGCACGATGTCCGGGTGAGCGCCTGTATAGGTCAAAGTTGGAGTAAAAGGCGGCGGTGAAATTGGCGCTTCTGTGAACTTCTCGTGGAGTGGGAGCTAGCTGCTGCGCAGGAGTCGGTGGAGTGTCGTCGATGGGTGGTGGTGCCGTCGAAGAGCTCGCGATTGGTGTTGTAAGTGTTGTTGGTGTTGCCGATGTTGTCTCTGCTGCTGTCGATGTTGTTTCTGCTGCTGTTGATGTTGTCGCTTCTTGTCGGATTGTTGCTAATGCCCGTGTTCTTTCTGCTTCATGTATGGTATGTGAATACCAGAACCCTCCCGGGCTGAAGTCAGGATCGAGGTCCGGTGGGTGCGTCCAGGAGGCGAAGTTGACGATGGCGTCGCTATCGGCCGTTCCTTGATCTGGTACAAAGTCGAGGACGAAGACGTTATTTTTCAAGACTGCTCTGCCGATGTAGAGCCCTCCTCTACCGTGGAAAAGCTTGAACTCCTGTGTGGTGCTGTCTGCTTCAAGATGGATCCCCTTTGCCATCAGTTGGCTGACGCTCAGTAAGTTGTAGCCAAGTCCTTCTGCAATCAACACTTTAGACATTTGTAAGATGACGTTAGTCTCTCGGGATTGAAGTTGTACTACGCCTTGTCGTCGTGTGTGCAGGTTCTGGTTGTTGGCCACAGTGATGACGACTTCGCGCTGAAGTTGATGCTCTTGTTGGACGAAACGGTTTGAGGAACACATATGTTGTCCGCAGCAACTGTCCAAGAACCAAGTATCTTGCCCGGACGGCTCGCTTTGGGCGATAGCTACATACGTCGGATTGGGCTCCAGTGAGTCGCGGCGGGGAGTCCTTTCATCAAGTTGGTCTTCTGGTGAGTAGTAGGGTGGTGATCCGGTGATGCAGGAATCCGTTGTTCTTGTCATGCAGCTAACGATGTTTCTTGTTCCTTGTGCAGATTGCGATGTTGAAGATGTTGAAGGCTGCACTTGACTGGTGGGATGCGCCTCTGTAGAAGCTACTTGACTGCTTGACCGCCGAAGTTGACGTTGCGGTGTTGTCGACTGCTGCTGATTCGGGCAGTGTGTGCGTGGATGACCGGACATCTTGCAAAGGTGACAAAACGGTGGGACGTACTGTTGTACTTATTTGTTGTTGTGTCGGTTGTTGTTGTTGTTGTAGTGTCGTTGAGTATGGAAGGCGAACTCCGGTGCTAATGCTTTCTTCTGATGTCATTCCTCGTGCAGGTCCATGTCTTGCTGTTCAGCGTGAATTTCGGCGCAGAGTGCTGCTTTGGAGATCTTCCCGTGAGCTCGGAGAAGTGCTCTAGTGGAGCGCCAATGAGGTCCAAGGCCGGCGATGATGACTGTTACAAATGCTTCTTCCGAGATTGATCCTCCACATCGAAGGAGTCTGTTGCGCAGTCCGCGACAACAGCTAATATAAGCCATTCCCTTTTCGCCGGGTTTCATTTCCACTGTTGTCAGCTGTGCCATGAGATGGCTCTGGTTGACGCTGTCTGTTGCTTGATACAGGTTCTTCAAATGGTCGTAAGCCAGTTCGGCGGAGTTGCCGT